AATGGGACCACTGGAAGGGTTTACATGGAAAACAACACTGGGACCACAATAATTTAACTTGGAGCTATATAAATAAACTGACTGAATATCTCTATCTCGCCACAATATTTTTAACTGAAAATGAAACAACTTTTAAATCTCCCGAATTTTATCATGGAAGCTTAAGTCTAAATTAAACATTTTGGACTAAAACCTCTAAAAACCTTTGGATTAAGACAAGACCAAGTTATAACACAAAAACTAACAACCTACTTCTGTTTGAGTTTAGTTTATTATTTTACATCAGCTGCTGAAACTGGGACATCAGGTACAGATGAGTCTGTATGACTAAATCTGACACATTCACATCACGTGCATGTACTGTCCTCATGTTTGAATAATTTAAAATAAAATCAATAAAGGAAATAAATATTTGTAAACACGATAAGTTACATTTGTGTCTCTATAAGTGTCAGTCAGTAAAACTGAAGACTTTTAAAAACCTTTCCGATTTAAATTAAAGACCTAAATGAAAACCAGTCTTTGTAAAATTATTTCAAGCTACAACAAAACTAGTTTCAGGATCAGAACAACCAGAGACTTTTATTAAAAAGTCCGAGTCTTGCTGACAGGACTGAGGCATGATGGGACTTTGAGTTTAATTAAAACCATCTTAAATCAGACAGAACTACAGACACAAAAACTCACAGCACAAGTTAAAGGACAATGAATAAATTGACAAATTTAGGACATAACTAAACTAACTTTAGGACTTAAAAGGAACAAATTTGGACATTTAAAAACAATTTAAAGGCCTAAAATTAAGATTAAACTTTATTTTCATGTACTTTTTGGACCTGTACAGCTGAACCACCTCCAATGAGTCCTATCGGTGTATGGATGTGAGCTAAAGCACTGATTAGTCTCTACAGAATGATTTATTCAGATTGTCTCTGCAGATAGCTAAAGCGCTGTATATGTCTGTGTGGACGGATAAATGAGGACACAGATTGGGTCGTAAAACTCAGAACAGAAAGGATCTATACAAGTCCAGAAGCAAGTCTGACTTGCGACACGATCTCCATCTCATCTCGTTTAAATCTGTAAGGTGTGCACATTTTCAATTTGTCCCAAGGTGTCGGACGCAAGTCACAGTTTCTGCATGGTAACCAGCTCCGGGGTCAGTTTGGATGAGATTTACGGGCACTAATTTACCGCCGACTCTTGTGCCGACTTGGGGAAGCTGAAGCAACATTTTAAAGCCTGGGACAAAATAAACGGACTCTGGATCGATGGAGGGAAACAATTCTGTTGATGTGATGAACATTACGTTGTATAACAACTACAGCCATGCAGACGTTTAATCCTCATCAGTACAACATTAAAGCAGCTGACAGCATGCGCTAAAGAAGTGACGACAGCAGGTTTGGTCTTTAAACAGCCGAACTGCAGCTTTCAGGGGTCCATCTGTTGATTCTCAGAGATTTTCAGTAAAGTAAACCCAAACAGCGAGGCCACACGCGTGTCGAACGTCCGTCTCCCACCCTGTGTGTGTTTCTGAACCTTGACGGTGTCACAAACACAGGAAGGTAAAGCTCAGCACAGTGTGGTTCTGTGGTAGATGGGTCAGTCCACCCAGGACCGATGCAAGACCTGCTTGTCTCAGGGTGCAGCTCTCTGAAGGTTAAAAACACGCTACACGCGTGACAGACACGGCTCCTCCTTCATGAGGATGACCAGGAACGTCATAAGTCAGCAGGAAAATAAAACCAATAAAATCTCCAAACTTCTGATGTGTTTGTGATGTCTGATCACATGTCAGCTGTCCTCTCACCTGATTGGCTGCTCTGTGAGCAGCAACACAACAGGAAGTGAGCATCAATCTTTAATGTGACATTTACCGCAACAGACAAACACACGGACAGCTCCTGGTAGACTGAGCCCACCGCCAAGCGCCTGCTGACGTCTAATTTGAACAATTATCTGCTCGTTTTTCAACCTTAACCTTTGAAACGAGTTCCTCGCAGAGTTTACGGTCACTTCTGAATCGGGTTTGATTTCTGCACCTGTGAGGCTCCGCCCCTTATCTCATCCATCTGCACTTTATTCTTGTTTAAACTCATTTTCTGTTCTTTATATGCAACAATGTTCAGTCAGGTCATCTGGACGGTTTCTTTGTTTGACGAGGCGTTTCATCCTTCATCCAAAGGACTTCTTCAGTCTGAGGAGACTGAAACAGTACCCCAACAGACAAAAAACATATCATCTAAACCCACGTCTGGACTCCTGAACCACATCTGGAGAAAATAAATCCATTCTACAAACTATTTCTAAAAGCCTGAGACGCTTTCAGCTCACACCGAGTTTAAATTAAATAAATGTCACTTATTTGAATTAATATCAACAAATGTTTAAGACAGGAGATAAAAAACAGGATAAACATGCATAAATCCAAACAAACACAAAAATAATTTCCTAAATCTTTTCTGAATTTGTTTTAAAAAATCTTGAAAGTGAAGAAAGAAAAGTTCAAAATGTTGCAAAATGAAGCAAAAGAAACAAGCCAATTCAAGATGGCCGCCCCAGCATTAAAAACACAATAATAGCTATAATTCAGTCAATGCCACAGATAATTAGCTAAAACGTAGTCTGGTAGTAACTGAGAGTCATTCCCATCACATCAGCTTTGGTGTTAATGTTGTTAGCAAAATATCTCATGCACCACTGACCAGATTTTTATGAAGTATATCCTGGATGTGCGTCTACGACTCACTGACTTTTAGATGCAACCCAGTCAAGATGGCCGCCGGAGTTAATAAACCTTAGCCGACACAACGAAAAGCTTTAGCGCTGTCAGTTTTAGAGATACAGTAGTCCCTCGCTACGTCGCGGTTCGACTTTCGTGGACTTGCTTTTTCAACGCAAGATTGTACACGACACATGATTGTCAACTTTAATATTACTCATGTGACTGGGATGGTACGGCTCACATTAAAGTCAAGCTAACGAAAAAATACTTCTGACAGGCGCCACCATTTTGTAGTTTTCTTTCAATAAGCTTATACTGTATCACCAGTCAAAAGAACTGCATTACCTAGAAGCCAACAGAGCTTCTGGGCACCGCTTTCTGCCAAAATGGAAGAAAAGTTTTGCAACGCAAAGTCAGAAGTAACGATCTATGAAGCTCATAATCCTGAAGCTCAATTATCCACGCGTACATCAACCTGGATTCCATCACTGCTGGGTAGGTCTGCTGAACCGGAACAGAGCCCGACCAGAACCAAGCTGCTGGTCTGCAGAGCTGGTGAGTACCCATATAAACTTTTGCAGTACTGTACAGTACATATACGTCTGTTGTTAAAATTACGTAGCGTTCCTACTTCGCTGTTTATCACCCATCATGGTGGTATCTGGAACGTAACCCCCACGATAATCAAGGGACTACTATGCAATGAGGTTAACTCTGATATGGTAGTAGCTGAGAGTCATCACCAGCACATACTCCGAGCGTGTTTAACGTTTAGGTCATTTAAAGTTATTTTTATCTTTATCTTTTCTCAACAAGAAACGTTTGAAGGAGGGTGAAATGCATTCCCCTCGAGGAACGCTAAGGCTTAAAAAAATTATTTTCTCATAGATCCTGGATATTAAAACAGTTTAGCATCATTTTAAAAAAAGTCTCAGAGAATTAAAAAAAACACTGGAAATAAAACAGAAACCTTAAAGTAAAAAGAAAATAGTTGAATTGTTGGTGTTGTCGGGTATATTCATGTTTTCTGATCAACTAACTGGTTATATTAAAATGAAGAAGTGCTTCAACGTTTGTTAAACCGATGTTCGGCGGCGTGCACGTACTACTGCGCTGAATCGTTGAGCTGGTACTCCCGGGCGCGGCTGAAGCACTCCTGGATGCCCGAGTCGGCCCACAGGCGCATCATGGCCCCCAGCAGCTCGGCGGAGTAAGGCTCCGTGTCCTCCATACGACTGACCACGTCGCACACCATCTTAGCATCCGCCTGCAGGAGAAAACACAGGAGGCTAACGGTTAGCTTTCACAGGAAAAAAGAACGAACGGGCCCTGAAAGGCCTGAGCCCTCCAACTCATCTATGGGGCTTTATTTGAACCTTTGACATCTGGCAGACTAACACACCAACAGCAGTCTTTGTGTTATGGCTGTTAGAGCGGAAAGACACCTGAAGCACGAAGAATAGTGGAAGGTCATGTGAAGGTCGGAAAACAAGTTCTACATCAGATCTGTTCACAACATGCTGAACCGTATACAACACATCATACGTTTGTTGACAAACCATTATACAGCAATTTATAACAATGGCCTGGACAAGCCAATACCTTAACCTTTGACCTTGATTTGTGACCTTGATGCTAGAGCTGGGGTGATGTGGTGCTATGTGTATCAGGTTTCATTAAATTATCTCGAGTGGATCAGAACTTATGGTCCAGACAAAAACAGACCTTGTTTTAACGTTGACCTTGATATGTGACCTTGACCTTGGAGATGTAGCAATGAAGGTTGTGAGCAGAACATTGTGATGAGAAGATAAATCCTCTCCCGGCAAAACTTAAAAACACAAGTTCAGGTTCTAACCAGTCAATTAAGACTTGAACCGAACTGAAAGACCAGAAAATGAAGGTAACGATTCCTAACATCTGGTCAACATGTGGACCCAGACCTAGGTTCAAGGTAGACCACGGTGGGAAAAAGTCTGTGTCTGTCCATCCATCATCCATCATCCATCACCCATCCACCGTTCACCCATCTGTCCATTCATCCTTACATCCATCCATTCATCGACCATCCATCCATCCACCATCCATCTGTCCATCCATCCATCCATCCATCCATCCATCCATCCA